GTTTGAATCCCCTCTTTTTTTTTTCTTTTTTTTGGAATGGACTGCTTTTTTTTTTTTTTTTTTATCGGGGTGCCGACAACCCCCGACCAATAGCTGCCGACAAGCCGACCAGTCGGCTGATCTGCAGCCAACCAATCGAGGGGTGCCGACCATCGGCCTGTGCAACTCTGGGTCTGGCAAATATTTTGGCCAACCTGATAGGCCTAAGTTGATACAGGGCACAACCTTCTTGTACTTCCGTACCCTCCGCGGAATGTGGAAAAATGTGTGAAACTGGCTTCGATGAGTCATGATCCTGCCTTGTTGGATTATGAACAGGGCGCAGGCTTTGACTTGGATAGGGCCAAAAAGCCAACGGACTGGCTGACCAGCAATTACTTAGTCAGCTGGCTGATCAAGTCCAGAGACACCCGCATGTGAAGCTGACAGGATACTTGACTGCTAGCACTTTGTGCCTGGAGGCTCGCAAGAGTCAGTCAAGTACAAAATACAGGTAGGTCCTGCGCTATCATGAAGGCTCGAAGAGAAAGCACTTGGTTGAAACAAAGTTTGACCATGAGTGACATATAAAAGATTCTTCAATTGTCGTCATTGTTGGCTAGTCAAACCACTACAATGAAACACAATAGTATACGGAAATTTTACAATGAAACAAAATAGTATACGGAATTTTTTTTTCAATATGTTCTGTAGAATCCGTGTAGATCTATTTTCCAACAAACTGAAAAATGCAATTATGTGAAAGGAATTTGCACTAGTTGTTCAGGTCGAAACAATGGTGCAGAGATTGCTCAGACTGAATATAGAAAATATGGTCAAACATCTTTGCATGTGTTCTCAGATGAAATAAATTATGCTCAGGCACAAGCATCAAGGAGGCTGGCTACTTCGATATATCCACGTGTTACATACTGCAGCTTCGGTTTTGGAGGACGTCCCCTGCCAGTCGGTCTTGGAACTGGCATTTCTCTTTGATCCACGATTTCATCAATGTCAACCTCTCCATCCATGGTTGGGGGCAGCATTGAGCGTCGCGAAGGGAACCGGTCAGTTTCTTTGAAAGGTGCAAGCTTAGAAGTGTGAAAAACAGGGTAAGTGCGAAGATGTCCGGGAATCCGAATAACATATGAAGGTCCGTCTGGTTCATCCCCAACTATATCTAAAACCTCCCACGGTCCAAAGTACTGTGGCATGAGCTTTCGGGAAATTCCGTGCTCCTGTCCCAGTTCAGAAGCCTTGACCCAGACCCTGTCCCCTACCTGAAACATAGATGAGCGGCGGTGCTTGTTCTCAGATGCGATCATCGCCGCCTGTGCTTTGTGCATGTGCTCTACTGCGTGCTGCATATGATTCTCATATCTATAAGCGAATTCCAAAGTGCCTGGAGCAGCAGTAGACTGGTTCTCAGGTAGCAGAAAGTCAAGAGGAAGTCTGGGTTTGAACGTTAGAAGTATGCTATTTGGACTTTCTCCCGTGGCACTATGAACTGCGTTGTTATACAGGCTGGCGATGAGAGCAAGCTTCTCATCCCGGTCCACTTGATTGGGCTTAATGTAATGCCTCTGCAAGTGTTGAACAGCGCGGTTCATTTGCTCTGCCTGTCCATTTGCCTACCGATGGTTTCCAGATGTCATCTGCAGTTGCGTTCCTTGTTCTGCAGCTGTGGCCTTCCACAGTTCACTGGTGAATCGGACATCCCTGTCGCTGATTATAGACTTCAGCAGGCCAAAGTCTCTAACCCAGTTTTCCTTAAATAGCTTGATAACGTTGTCGGGCGGCTCCTGCCTTAAGCCGCCCTTTACTTCCTTGACAAAGGGGCTCGTCGGGGGCCCTACCTACTTATTCTGCCTGACGAGGGCCTCGGCAGGCCACGAAAAAACGCAGCGATGAATCGACGGCACAAGCAGCCGGACCGCGACACTCAGTCTGACTGGGGCTAGAGCATTGAGGCGCGATACTCCCATGAAGTGGACATGAACATAGGCCGCTGAGAGGCTGGATGAAGACTGCAAAGGGCAACGAAAAGTCTAGCCCCCGGGAAGAGGGACAACCATGAGGAGACAGGGATACGCCAAGGCCCGGCAAGGAGCCAGAGGAATGGCGATGCCAGGGCACTTGATCGGAAGCCTCAAGCGTCTCGAGTGGCAGCAACCTCCGAAGTTACCACGAGTAACCGAATACCAGGAACGCCGTGGCCGATGATGGTGGAGACCAGCCTTTTTAGCAGGCCATAGCACCAAGGAGAAGAGGTTGCCGGCCTAAGGTGTGGAAGTGGGCCTTACGGCCTAGAGTTTCGGGGGGGGGCCTGCTGGATTTTCTCAAGGGCCCGGTACCACTTGATTGTGGGGACCACCTAGGCCTGAATAGGCCCGGGGCAGGTTCGAAAAGAGCAGCGGTGCCAGGGCGCTGCAAAAGGCCCGGTTCCTAACGAAAATGCCCCTCTCGCTGAAAACTTTTGGAGGGCCCAAACAGGCTCGGGCGCAGGTCCAGTACCGGGCCGCTGCAACTTGTCGGCAGCCCTGGGACACACAAGGGCTGAGACACACTTCAGAAAGGGCCCGGCAAAGTATAAAATCCAAACCGGGCCCAGGACGGGGACACTTCTCGCATGCACGAGTGGAGGACGGGGGAGGAACGAACGGACTTCAACACGCACAGGAGAACTACGTACAGAAACACGGGAGGACGACGTACGGGCGACTCGCACGGGGGAAGACCACGCACAAACAACACGCGCTGGGACATTGAGGGGGCGCGCAGGCGCATGGCGTGCAGGAGCGCACATTCCCCCCCACGCACCAAGGCGCACATTCCCCCCTGCGCACCGGGACGCATGCGCACACGGCGCGCAGCCGCGCGCGACCCCCCTTGCGCACCAGGGCGCACAGGCGCACGGCGCGCAGCAGCGCGCAATTCCCCCCGCGCACCGAAACGCACGCACGCACGGCGCGCAGTCGCGTGCAACCCCCTTGCGCACTAGGGTGCACAGGCGCACGGCGCACAGCAGCGCGCGATTTCCCCCGCGCACCGGGACGCACGCGCGCACAGCATGCCGCCGCACGCAACCCCCTCACGCACCGGAGCGCACAGGCGCATAACGTGCAGCCGCGCGCAGCCCCCCCCCCCCGCACAAGGGAACACACGTGCACGACGCGCACCCGCGCTGAACTCCCCTCCCCCGCACTAGGGAGCACGTAGGCGCAGGCGCGTAGCCGCGCGCAGCCCCCTCGCGCACTAGGGTGCGAGCGCGCACAGGCGCACAGCCTCGCGCGGCCCCTGCGCACGGGCGCACAGCCTCGCACAAGCTCCGTGGGCATCTGCGCGCACCCACACTCACGGCGCGCAACCTCACGCGGTCCGCGTTCGCCCGCAGGGGCGCACAGGCGCACAGGCACGGGGCCTTGCACAGTCGCCCGGACACTAAGGGCGCACCCCGAGGGGGCGCATTGAGGGACATCGACGGAACGGGCCTTTTGGGGGGCGCAGTCGGGACACCAGAGGACGAGCCTTTTGGGGCGCAGTCGGAACACCGGCGCACAACTCTTTTGGGGCACAATCGGGACATCGACAGAACGGGCCTTCTAGGGGCGCAGTCGGGACACCAGCGGACGAGCCTTTTTGGGCGCAGTTGAGACATCAATGGAACGGGCCTTTTGGGGCGCAGTCGGGACATCGGCGGAACGGGCTTTCTGGGGGCGCAGTCGGGACACCGGCGGAACGGTGTCGGAGGGCGCGGTGTCCCGGCCCTCCTCTGCGTACCAAGTCCCTGCCTGGTGCCCATGGTCTGTAGGTGTGCTCTCTAACTGTGATTCCTTAGTACCCGGCCTGTACCTTGGCGTGGACCGACCCTGTTGGTGCCTGCCTCAACAAAATGGTGCGCCACAGGGCTTTCCATTGGTCCACGCAGGCTCGGCGCCCTGCTGTAAGT